AATGGAAGCATATTTCTATCATTACACAAAAACCTGTCAGATGTGCCAAATCTACACCGACAAAATGAATGTACCGCCTACTCCTCTAAATTTCATGAGCTCTCCTTGGCCATTCTCGATGTGGGGAATCGATATGATAAGTATGGTCAAACCGAAAGCATCTAACGAATACCGATACATACTAGTCACCATTGATTACTTCACCAAATAGGTAGAAGCGACATCTTATGCAAATGTGACAAGCCAAGTGGTTACTCGATTCATCAAGAAAAATCTCATATGCATATATGGGGTTCCAAACAGATCATAACAGACAACAAGTCTAATCTGAATAAAAAAAATGATAAAAGAGTTATGTGACGTTTTCAAGATCAAGCATCATAATTCTTCTCCATATCGACCCAAGATGAACAGGGTCGTCGAAGCTTCCAACAAAAATATCAAGAAGATCATTCAGAAAATGGTGAAGACATAGAAAGATTGGCACAAAATGCTTCCCTTTGCTCTACATGGATATCGTACCTCTGTACGCACATTAACAGGCGCAACTCCTTTTTCTCTAGTATATGGCATGAAAGTGGTACTTCTAGTTGAAATAGAGATTCCATCACTCTAGGTGCTAATGGAAACAAAGATTAAATAAGTCGAGTGGGTTCAGACGCGACTTGACCAGCTCAACCTCATTGAAGTGAAAGGCTTGGCGGATTTATGTCACGGTCAATTATATCACACAAAAGAGCGATCCAGGCAAAAATTAGGGATCTTATCCAAAATAAGTAAAGAACAAAAAGACTGCGAATTGCGACCACAAACCACGAAGAAAAAGTTATATCCAAATCATTTGACTCATAAGCAAAAGAGATTGGAGCTACCAAAAGGACATTGGAGAAATAACAGTAGTAATTATCATTTTCATTTCCATTTATAGTTTTAAATTTTTTTTTGTAATTACCTCTTTTCAGGAATTGCATATTGTACTCGCACTTATTCAAAAGCATAACAATAAAACCTTTACCTTTTATATCTTGCGAATTGTGTTTTTCTTTTTCAGACTTGTTTACAAAATACCACGATTATTTCTTTTGAATATTTTGTTAAAAACGTTTCGAGGATTTGACAAATAAAAGTACTTGATAAAACATCGAAAAGCATTTTGTTTAGAAAACATTGAAATAAAATCCACGCTTGCGTCCACATCTACGCTTATTTCCACGACTATGCCTACATCCACGTCTATGTTGCTCATACGCTTATGATACAAACATCAAGATCTTACTAATACTTTCCATCACATTCAAATCAATTCAAAGATATCATGACGATGCAACACACAATGTCGGAGAGTTGGTAACTCAAAACCAATGATTTAAAAAGAAAGAATACAAAAAAAAAACATTCTCCACAATATTTTGAGGTATATACACATATTTTGCACATATATATTTGAGACATACACACACGAATTTAAAATGACTCAAATGACTATGTCACAACCAATAATCTTCGTTTTGGTGAGTAAACACTTGGTACCACTATTTGATACATCATATAGATTAAATATATAGACATTTTCAACTTAATAATTATTAAACACTATCTCCTTATTTATATATATATATATATATATATATATATATATATATATATATATATATATATATATATATATATATATATATATATATATATATATATATATATATATATATATATATATATATATATATATATATATATATATATATATATATATATATATATATATATATATATATATATATATATATATATATATATATTCTATTACACAACCTAGAGTATTGAAAGTAATACTAGTATACACATTATTGCATAATTAACTAATGCTATGGAGATTATGCATAAGTTCTTTCAAAAACAACACACCACTAATGGTGGTTGTGGATGGATTTTCCACAACACCTTCACTTATTATTTTACCTCGATTCTTATCTCCATAAATGATGTATCTACACTCCTTATTATTGAAGTCAATAGACATAAACATGTCTTCCTCACATGCCTTAAACACCCATTATTTAGAAACCAAATTCTATTTGTAGCTGTAAAATAATTCTTCCTGAAAATTAACAAGGTAATTTAGGTATTCAATTTTTGTTGGGTCCATGAGATTAATACTAGGAAGTTTAGACACCCATGTGTTTAACCCATTAAATACCTTTACATTTTCAATCTAACATTGAGGCATATATGTTCAATCTCTCTACAATAATGACATACCACTATAAAAGAGATATTATTTCTATTCTTCTTGTGACGTAGCCATTGATCTTGCTTTCTAAAACTTTTCCTTTCATCATTCAGATTGGCAAACACAATAATTTGAATTTTGGAGAGCAGTGTGATTTGTACCTTTAAATTTATAATTTCAATTTTTAAATTAGGACAAGCTTCACACTCATATGATTCCATATTTTCTTCTAAGGTACGAAGAATACAAAAATATTTGTTTACAAAAATATTTGTTTACAAAAAACCTTGTTCTTCAATATCTTGGTAGGGCACCTATTTAGAATATAAACTGCAGTCGAAAAACTTATTTTCATAAATTTTTTGGCAAATTCTTCTACTTCAGCATGCATCTCTCCATATCTAATATGGTTTTGTTTATTCTTTATGTAATTCCATTACGTTGAGGCGTATAAGGAGAAGTTACCTCATGATAGACACCATGTTGCACAGAAATCTTCAAACATCTTGGATGTGTATTCGCCACCTCCATCTGTTCGTAGAACTTTGATCCTCTTTTAACTCTGATTTTCAAAAAGTATCTCGAATCTCTTAAAGATTTTGAATACTTCATCCTTTCTCTTGATCACATAGATCCACAACTATTGAGTATACTCATCGACAAATGAAACAAAATATATATTTCCAGCAATGGTATGTTCTTCAATGAGCCACATACATCTAAATGTAACACTTTGAGAATGCAAGATGATCTTATTGGCATATTTAAACAAAGAAATTTTTGGATTTTTTTCTGACTAAACATCCTTCATAAAGTTTGTCGTACTTCTCAAGACTTGGAATATCAGTAACCGTATCTTGAGTAATCAACTGATTGAGTGATCAAAAATTCAAATATTTGAATCTCAAATGCCATAATTAACTATCATTGTGGTCGACAATAATTTTTAGATATTGTACTTCATTCGAACTGATCATAGTATTAAATGTCAAGTTCTTCGACATAGGAGACTTCAAGACCAAATTATTCTGGATTTCGAACAATTTTAAAGCTTAATCTTTCATGACAACTGAGAAATCTTTTTCGACCAGTTGTCCAATACTTAGCAGATTGTGCTTTATTCCAGGTACAGAGAGTACATCTTTGATCATAATATTTCCTCCATTACTCATTTGAAAAACTATGTTGCACGTACCTTCTGCTTGCAATAAACTATTATCAGTAAGTTTTACCTTGCTCTTCTTCGACTTGTCCAAGTCTGCCAACCCCTCCTTTCGATCAGTCATGTGATTGGAGCAACCTGAGTCGACGAACCAGATCTTGGATTCGACATGGTTATATGCAACTTCAATCATAACCACCAAACCTTCACAATCATCTGAATCATTCCGTGAAAGGTTCTCTCCTTCGTTCTTGTCTGTCGATCCCCTTGTCTTTTTTGTACCAACAATTCTTGGCGAAATGATTTCACTTTTTACAATTATAGCATTGCACATGTTTTTTTATCTTCTTTGTCCTTTTGATAGTTTATTCCTCCTCTTTTCGAGGATTCCGAAATTATATCACCAATCTTATTCTCGTGGGGATTCGACCAAGACTTCTTATCGCGAGTATTATCGAACTTGCCTTTGAGTTTGTTGAAACCACCATTCTTTTCTATGAATGAGCCTGCAAAGCTTGTATAGAATCTTGAACTCCATTCCTTTCGACAATCCTAACATCATGCGCTTTCAACGAACCAACCAAATCTTTTATTTTTAAGGTTTTAAGTTAATTGAATTCTTGAATAGCTACGATAATGTGATTAAAGTAAAACATCAACGTATACATTACTTTATCAACTATCATCTTATCAGTTACGGTTTCACCATAACTCTTCATGAGATTGATGAATTTCTGCATCTTCAACACACTCTGCAGTCTTTTTGTCTTCTTCCATCGATAGTAATTCATATTGTGAATGCAAGGTCTGCAACTTAACAACATTGACTTTATCCCCTCATTCATGGTACTTGACAAGAATATTCCATACCTCCTTCATCGATTTAACATATGAGAGATCCTGTCGAAGTTCATCGCATCGACCTCCGTCTGAATGTAAAATACAATCTTTCACTCCTTCTTCATGACTTTGTTGTGAAGAGTTTATTTTGCATCAGTTGCATTTGCAGTGAGCGCAAAAACGCCTTTGGTAATCACTTCTAAGATTTTATGAAAATCAAACTGAAATTACATTTATTTTCTCCATCGAATCCAATTCTTATCGTCAAGAATTAGAAGAGAATTCATAATACTATTGTTACCATTCATCTTCACATAGATTGCTAATAAACAATCCACAATCTCGAAAATAATCTTCACATAGATTGCTAATAAACAATCCACAATCTCGAAAATACGATCTCTAACGTGTGATTCTTAAAAAAACAATCAAGTATCTAATCGGAATTTTAGATATTGATCATTTGTTAATGCGTGAAACACTTTTATTAAGTAAAAAAAAAGAATAAAATAAAATAAAAAATTTATTATAAATTGAATTGTATAAATAATATCCAAACTATGACTATTTATATATTAAATATGACTATTTATATATTAAATATTTCAAGAAAACATACTAACTACATAAAACAGAATTTTTAAGACATGTAAAAACTAGGCAGGAAACTAGAGAGAAAAAAAGTCAACAAAAACAAAGACTACAGAAGAGTCATACAAATGAAATTACACTTTTGTAAGATACAATCGAGTGCATGCGATGGCAGATTTAAGAATTCTGCGTCCCACTGATTTGTTGCTGACTATAGTCCCTAATCTCCCTCGCTTTGTTTATCAGGTTCTGACGCGCTGTGTCCAATCTATCAACCCCAGGTGGCTGCTTACCGGTAACATACGTATAGTTCCACGCTAACACTGTGACCGCTGCCACACCGAAGCCACCGGAAGCAAAGAATCCCAACGTCAACAGAGCCACTATGACCACCGCAGGAACCAACACCGGACTGAATATGACAAACAGCGGTGTGATGACTGTGAGGGCGATAACCGTGCCGGTTAAGACCAAACCAGAGAGGATCAATAGAGAGCTGCCAGCTGTCACGGCGGTGGCAGCCTTAACAAGCTGAGTTGACTTAGCTGGAGGTTGTTGTTGAACATTGGTGTTGTGTTGGTTGTTGTAGCCGCTGAGTGGTTGGTAGTATCCTTCATCAGCCATGTTAGGGTTTTGAATTTGGTTCATGAGAATTGAGAGTTAATTGTATATGCATGGGTTAGATGAGAGGGTTTTGGAATTATAAATGGTGGTTGGTGGAGGATTGTGTGGCAGCAATTGAAGGTGGTCAGTGGTACGTGTTGAGATAGTTTTCAAGCAAGGCTTGCATGCAAAATACATTGCTGTTCTCGTGACACGTTTTATTTTTTTCTATACCATTTTAATTTTATATCCTTTATTTTTATTATAATAATAATAATAATAATAATAATAATAATAATAATAATAATAATAATAATAATAATAATAATAATAATAATAATAATAATAATAATTATTATTATTATTATTATTATTATTATTATTATTATTATTATTATTATTATTATTATTATTATTATTATTATTATTTTATTTTTTAAACAAAAAAATATTTTATTGAATAAAAAAATAAAGAGGAATAAGTGACAACTAATAGATCCAACTACATGCAAACAACAAACATCAATAAAGAAAAACCTAAGATCTAGGAGATAAGTAAATTACTAACATTACTCTTAAGTTTTGGTTTATCCTAACAACAATATACAATGACATCAATAACTCTATTAATAACCGTTTGCTTGCAAGTTATTTCACCAAAGTATTTTTGATTATAAAATCTCCAGACCTTATGAATAGTTTCAATTAAAGCACACTGCGTAATTCTTACTTGTCAGCTCTTCCTTTGACACTAATCAATAATCCACCTGATTTTCCTAGTTTAGCTTTGGAGCATGTGATCTCCATTAATTCAATGAAGAACTTTTTCTCAGATCTCTTTAGTTTCAAAACAGTCGAAGAACAAATGATCAATTGATTCGACCTCCCCACAAAAGCAACAAGCATTATGATCTAGCATACCAAATCTATGCAATCTTTCTTTGGTGGGTAGCTTCTTGTGACAAAGAATCCAAATAATATGCATAGATTTCCTTCTAGCAGAATTACCATATATCACTGTTGTACCACAAAATTTTCCCTCTCACTTATCAAGTATTTTCTCACAAGATCTCCTTTGGTTCAAGACTGCACAAGGGTTGATCAGCTAAAGACACCTCCTTAAGCACTGATGACTGGAATTAGGGTTTGAGATTGCACAAGGATACTTGAACTTTTAATGCCTCATATGACTTTCATGGATCATTATATACCCTCAAGATTGCTCATGTCAAGTTTCAAGTCTTGGATCACATTTTTGCTCAATTAATTGATCAATTGACCTAAAAATCAACTATATTGGGGAAAAAGTCAATTGTGGCCAATTTACAGTCAAACTTCATGATTTTTGATCCATATCAACTTTGTGAACTCATATATGTCATTTTATCAAGTTTGGACCACAATCCCTCAAGAAATTTGATCAGATCATCAAAAGGGTAAAATGGTCAAAATTAGGGTTTTGACTGAGAAAAGGCAATTTCTGATTTTTGACCTAGAAAATGGTTGATTGGTTGGAAACGTGATCTCAAGGATTCAATTGCATCATTTTGACCTAATGGCATGACTCAAAACATTGCTCAAGGTCATTTGTTTGATAGTTGATTTTCAGTCAACTAATCAAAAGTCAACTGCACACTGAAAAGTTAACTGCACACTCAAAAGTCAACTGCATACTGATAGTTGATACTGAAGTTAACTGTTATCTGGTCGGATCCAGGCTTCGCAGTAACTTGAAGTGGTAACTACTACCTGGTCGGTCCAGGTTTCATGGTTTTTAGAAAGTTGTACTATTATCTGGTCGAGTCCAGGCTTCAAAGTGTCTCTCTGGGGATCATAGTTAGTTGTTATTTGGCCGGGCTCCAGGTTTCACAATAAACTGTTTCGAAAAACTGTTATCTGGTTGGGTCCAGGCTTTATAGATTTCTGAGGTTGATGAGGTCAATGGCTATCTGATCGGATCCAGGCTTCGCAATAACTTGCTTGAAAAGATGAAATTGAAAACTGATATCTGGTCGGGTCTAGGTTTCACAGTAATTTGTTGGGACAGAGGCAACCTCTACTGGGGAAAAGAAGTTAAACCTTGGTCGGGTTGAGTCCAGGTTCTTCTATATCTTTGAAGAGTTAGACTATTATCCGGTCGGGTCCAGGTTTCATAGTATCTTGAAATTGAGATCAACTGTTATCAGGTCGGGTCCAGGTTTCAGATACTCAAATTGTTATCTGGTCGGGTCCAGGTTTCAGTAATTCACTAGGGATAGTGGCAAACTCTACTAGAGAAGAGGAGTTTTGCTGATGATTTTGTAGGAATTAAACTGCTATCTGGTCGGGCCCAGGCTTCGGCAATTGAAGAAGTCAAACTATTATCTGGTCGGGTCCAGGCTTCAGTAATAACTTGAAAATTATGCTAATATCTGGTCGGGTCCAGGCTTCATCGTATCTCTTTGAAAATAGTAAAGGCTTTGCTGACGGATTTTACTGGGGATCAGGGGTTGTGACCGTATGATTTGCAATAATCTGAAAGGAAAATTCAAACTGGAGAGTGTAGACTCAATCGGGTAGGACAGACTCAGTTTGGGGAGGATACACTCAACTGGGAAGGATATACACAGCTGGGGAATAACGGGTTCAGCTTGGAAGGATGGACTATGCCAGAGGAATACAGACTCGGTTGGGGAGGATGTACTCGGCTGGGGAATTTTGTGGTTCCCCGATTGTTGTTGGGGAAATAAAACCTGTTTGGGAAATAAAACCTGTTGGGGAAGTGAGTTTCTTTTAGGAAGAGATCTAAGAGGCTTCAACTTGTAAAAATCGACTTAGCTGGAGAGAGAGCTGCCAAGAGATTGAGACTCTGGTCGGGGATTATATTATGCAAAGAGACTTTGTGGGAAACTCCGTTGGGGAAAGGTTTATTGTAGCCGTCCTTGTGGGGATAATGATAATGAGATAACTCTGTAGGGATATTTCATACACATTAAAGAGATGCTTGTTGCTGCTTAGCAGGACACATGTGCCAAATAGTTTTAATTATGCTCATATGCATATGTTCATTCAATTTTAGTCATTGGACAAATTTGCATTCAAAACAAAGACACAAATTTTGCACTTCAAAGTATATTTGTATTGATATTTTGCCCATGAATAGGAGTTTTTGTACAGAGAGACGGAGATCCTAGTAAGAGGAAATCATCGAAAGGAAAAAAAAATTGAGAATGAAAACAAATAGCCATGTGAAATGATCTCACTGCCTTCCAACTCTACTATTGCCCCAATGTCTTCGAATGTCCCTTGTCGTTGATAGAAGTTTATTGGATTGATCTTGGACCGTTTGAACTTGGACCTTGGTGATAAAATTGACTGTGTTTATTCCACTGGACATAGTCATACACTTTTAATCCTTAACTTTTGCCTGGACCGCCCTTTCGGGTTTTCATCCCACCAGGATACCCTTTTTTGCCCAAGTCGCCTTTTTGGGTTTTCAACTTGCTGGGTGTAAAATCTTTTGCATATATCCCTAATTTTTTCCCAAACCTTTTGGTTTTCCGGGATGCCCTTATTTTGCCTAGGTGTGTCAACCTAGCGGGTCTCTTATGGATAGTATTTTGTTAACTATGTGTGCATTTATAGGATGTGGGAAATATTCACCATCCATGGTAGTCAGCATCATGGCACCGCCAGAGAAAACTCTTTTTACAACAAATGTCCCTTCATAGGTGGGAGTTTATTTGACCTCTGGGGTCGCCTTGTGGTAGAATGATGTGTTTTATCACCAAGTCACCAACTTGATATACTCGAGGCTTGATCTTTTTATTGAGAGCCTTGATCATCCGTTTTTGGTACGTCTAACCATGGCAAACAACAGCTAACCGTTTTTCGTCAATCAAGTTCAGTTGATCCAATCTCGTTTGAATCCACTCGTCTTCGCCTAGGCCTGCCTCATTCATAATTCTCAGCGAGGGAATCTAAACTTCCACTGGCAAAACAGCTTCCATGCCATAGACTAGGGAAAAGGGAGTTGCCCCAGTTGATGTTCTAGCTGAAGTACGGTAGCCATGTAGAGAAAACGATAACATCTCATGCCAATCCTTATAGGTTACTATCATTTTCTGCATAATCTTCTTGATATTTTTGTTGGCCGCTTCGACTGCGCCATTCATTTTCGGTCTATACGGAGAAGAATTGTGATATTTGATCTTAAACTGAGTGCAAAGCTCAGTGATCATATCATTGTTGAGGTTAGTCCTATTGGCGGTGATGATCCTTTTGGGGATACCATTACGACATATCAGGTTGTGTCTAATGAATCTGGCTACCACATTCTTGGTGACTGAGGCAAATGAGGCGGCTTCGACCCATTTAGTAAAATAGTCGATAGCGACAAGAATGAAGTGATGTCTATTGGAAGCGGTGGGCTTGATCCCTCCAATCATGTCAATTCCCCACATTGCAAATGGCCACGGAACGGTCATGACATTCAGAGGGATAGGAGGCACATGGACCTTGTCAGCGTAGATTTTGCATTTGTGACAAGTTCTTGAGTGTTGATGGCAATCAGTCTCCATCGTTGACCAATAGTAAATAACTCTTAAGGTTTTCTTAGCCATCTTATGTTCACTTGAGTGAGCAGTGAAGAGACCATCGTGCATGTCTTTCATGATCTCCTCCTCCTCCTTCTTGTCCACACATCGGAGTAGATTTGAATCATGGTCACGCTTGTACAATATCACGTTACTTAGGAAGAATTTGGCTGCAAATCTTCGTAAGAACTTTCTGTCATTGATAGATGCCCCCTCTGGATACTCTTGTGCTTCAAGGTATCTCATAACCTCATGGTACCATGGCTTTTCTGCATCGGTGTCAAGCTCATAGCAATGTGTAGGTTCATCGAATCTTTCAATTATTACCATAGGGGCTTCGTTGTCCCACCTGACTTTGAACATTAAAGACATGGTTGCAAAGCGTCAGCCAACTAGCTTTCTTCCCTAGGGAAGTGCTCAAAAGTGATCTCTTCGAAGTAAGGAATT